AAGCCCTATGGAAAGGGGGAGACCTGGGAAGAGGAGGTGGTTTAAACACTTTTTTCCCCTTTTTTTTTTTTTGCTTCCCACAGACGACTCCACTCAACAAGGTTGGCTTTTGGTCATTGCGACCACAATTGCAAAGCTACTCCACATCAGCACTCTTTACCGTTTAGCGCAGCTGGATGATAATTGGTTGCTGGAGGGGTATGTACACTGGGGGTTCTTAAATTTGATTAAAATTAATCTTGACTGCTGTTCACACATGTGACCCAGATACTTCTTCTCAGCAAAAAGGCTGATCATTACTATTCATTCTGCGTGTGCATGTGGAGGGTCACAATCGGACGCACACGCGTGTGCTCGTTTGCGTGGCCGACGGAGGCCCAAACACTCAGGCAGCGTCCTGCACGCCACACTCCTTTCAGACCTCCAGGATGATAAATGTAATCACAAATGCGTCAGATGGCTGATTTGTATCTTTTGCGCGTCGACACATTTACCCCATCATGCATAAAAACTCATACAGTTCCTGGATTGGATTCCCATCGATTTTACTTCAGCCCATTCGGCGGCTCCAGTATGCCGTGAGGACAAAAAGCCCATTGTTTCTTTGATCATAACAGAGGGACTCCAACCATGTGGGAGGGCGCAGAAGGCAGGATTGATTGGCTTCATCAGTGTGCGATTATACACACTTTAAATAGTCTGGTCAGCGCACTGGTGCCAAACCATCAGCGTGCTACTCCCATCTCTCTCTCATCCACCTCTCATATATCAGCCATCTTAATCTAAAATGTCAATATCAAATTCTATTCTAACAGCACCAATACACATTTGTGTGGTGAAGAGTACACTTTCCTGTCACGCGTAATACCATCACTACTACAGATGAACTTAAAACACATCAGAACAGATATTTCTGACAACGAGAAGTCGACACGTGTTCAAATAATAATCATTTGTATTCAAAGACAGCCTTTCCGTCTCAGGCTGAGTAAAATGTTTGTAGTGCACAGTCATCCCCTGCAGGTGACGGCCCTCCACCGCCTGCACTCACATGTTTAGTGATAGGTTCATGTGCCGCTGTGTGGTTAAAAGCAGTTATTACACAATATATACATAAATATCCCACAGAAACCCTGCTAGAACATGAGATTGAAATACCCACAGGAAACCAGCCTTATGTTTGACAAGTCTCAGAAAATGTGTCACTTATAAATATAGCTTCAAAATCTTTAACTACACAATAGAGGTTTCACTCTTCGACAACTGAATAATTTAAAAAAATCCTTCCCAAAGCCTTCAGAATATTCACAGTTTTGGCAGGTTTCTAACAGGAGAGACTTTAGTAACTCACACAGATCAACTGCTGTTCACTGGAAACACACGTCTGCAGCGGGTGTGGAAGCAGTGGTATTAACTTATTAGAAAAAATAAACTGTAAATGGTAGTCGGAATTGTAAATACACTAAATTTCCCCAGGTAGCAGTGCCCCGTCTTGCACATGTTTGTTCAGAATGTACATGTTGTGCTAGGAACAGCAAATGAACAAATCTTTCAAAATCCCAAACTCAAAAACATTAAAAAAAAGATTGTCATATAATGACTAAATCACAAAAGAACCTCAATCACAAAAGCTTTAAAATGAATAACTGAATAAGTTTGATACTTTTGGGAAATATTTGGAAGGTAATGCAAAATGACAAAGTTAAAACAACATGTAAATTGCATTGAACAGCAGGGGTGCTATCCAACCCCTTGAGTACATAAATCATGTTTTGGACCTATTTTGCAATCTTTGGCAGGTGGAGGAATCCCCCTTACGGAGGACAGGTTTAAAAAATACCAATCACATCGAGAAGGACAAAAAACTCACACAAAAAAATCTAAGGATCACAAGACACCTTCTAAAGAAGGAATGGTTCTAACATAACACATAGTTTCCCACTGATGTACCACAGGTGGTGTCAACTGGGGTTTTTTGAAATCGTTCCTTGACCAGATCATTAAAAATATGTGAACAATCCTCAAAAGGGCATTGCAAAAGAAGACAGAGAAAAAGGCTCAAACACAGGTTTAAAGGCCTTTTGAAAGTAGGTTGGACAGAAAATCTCCCAAAAGCCAACAACTAAAGGAAAACATTTGCTTGCTCCAGAAAAGATCAAGATCAAGCTCTGTCGAAGACATTAATTACACAGTTACATAGAACAGCTTCACATTTAAGGTAAAAAAACAAAACAAAAAAAAAGCTGATAAATAAAACTGATAGAAATAAATTTGAGAAAAGGTTCTTAACTGCCGTGATTGCATCATATTTTCACCAGGCTTTCAAACACTTACTTTAAAAATGAGATAATTCAAGAAATAAGTATATAAATGTTTATTTCAAAACAGGAGAATGTCCATTTATGCATAAAATTCAATAATATGTTGATATAACTCTCATAAGAGGTAATTTAAAAGTATCTCTTTAAATATCCAGTACCACAAGCTCGTCCTTGAGAAAAACCCTAACACATTTACGTCCACCATGGCATGTGAACACAACCACTTCACACCACAGCAAAGTTTGAAATATTGAAATGTACATTAGTACCACCATAAAGTTCTGTTTATGTGATCTCAGCATCTGCTCTTTTTTTTGTTGCTTTTAAAAAAAGTATTTGGACCAGTCAAATCTCTTGTTTATAGCACTGAGAGACACATTTCAAATGGATACGGTGAAACTGCACTGATATGGTCACTGAGAGATTCCATTAAACCTCATCTACCCTCATATTCTGCATGACAGTGTGAGCTAAAATGCATCTGTCATTCTGATTCTTTAAAGTCAAGTCCTAAGTCAATGGCTTTAACCTACTGATTTCTGATTTTTCTTGAAAAACAAATCGACAAACAAACAAACAATAACAAACAAAAAAAAACTCAAGTTCCAAACCATAGTGTCCATAGCTGCGGGAAGAAGGGATGCAGCTCCCTCTAGTGGTCAACTGGGTAAACGAGGCACAGCACCAATTAAACTCTGTTTTTTCCATTTCAATGACTTTCCCTTTCTTTCCTTAAAAAAAAACATGCGAACAAAAAACAACCACATGCAACCAAGATGAGCCCCCCCCCATACTTCAGCTTCTCTGAAACAAGTTATACAGTTATTGCTAACATGAAAAAGTCAATTAAATCCCTTCAAGTAATGAAAATGTCAGAAAAAAAGCAAATAGAAGAAAAGCTTCAGATTATATTTTTCCAGCGGCATCCTTTCAACAGAATATCTTTGGCCTCTACATTCTCTGCTCATGATGTATAATTTCATATTCATCCTTACAACTCAATCCACTGATTTTAATATAAAACACGGCACCTATTTGACAATATTGGAACAATAGCTTATTCAACCCTATCCCATCAAGGAAAAATGCTGTTCTCTTCAAAGAAAGCTCATTTTGAATTTGAAGGAAGTAAATAAAGGTCATAGGTAAAGAAGTGGCCAATTTTCTTTATTTAAATAATTGTTAGTATCTGATTTTTTAAACAAACAAAAACAGGGGCTTTACAGGGGATTCCAGCTACTCAAAATTATATCTAAATACATGAGTGCTTATGTTTGATTAGCATTTGCACTCGCTCAAAGGTGCATTGTGAGGGTCTCTGAGGCAATTACGGCCTGGTATATTTGCAGTGTTTTCCTCAGGGACATTCTGTTCAAGCAAAGCAGGACGTGGTGTAAATACAGACCACCAAGTGGCAACATGTAGTCATGTTTTTGGCAAGGTGTAAATAAGGCTACATGGAAGCTACTGCATAGGATGAGCGGCTACGTTAAGGTCTGCAAAGATGTGAAGTTCATGCATAAATTGCATTTAATGTTCCTCCATACTGTCACAGATAATGGCCTTTGAAGTGACTGCTACTTTTTTCATCCACACCGCAGGTTCACTTTTCTAGCTCACTTCTATCCATCATAAAATGTGTTGGTTAGCATGAAATATATAGTTATTTTCAGTATTTTGGGTGGCAGAACCTTGTATTTTTGATTCCTTTTTAATGCCACCTCAAACCCTCGAAGAGCACAGTTGCTAAATGTTATCCTCTGATCTTGTCATATGATTTGATTCACTACATATGAAAAAATCTCCTGATGCGAGCTTAAATCTTAAAACATTTAATGTTACGGTGGAGTTAATTGTTTGATAAAGCTTTAACATATCGGTGGACTTCCAATTTTCAGTTCTTGCAGACACTGTACACAGGATTAATTTGATCATTTCTTAAATTAATAAAAACAAACACCTTTTTAAAGCAGGCTTTAGTCCATATTTGAAGTGAAGTTGCAATCTTCAATTTCAAAATGAGCATGTATTTGTCTGAACTAATAGAATCTTAGGTTTGACATGGGACATATTAGTGTATTATTTCGATGAATTCAATTTCGAGTTGTAACTCATCCATCCATTATTTACTAGGAAAAAGGGTGGGGGATACCCTGGGGAGGTTACCAGTCCATCCCAGGGTTACACAGAGACAAACAACCATGCACTCACTCCTCAGGTCAATTTACAATCACAAATAATCTAACATGTATTTTAGGGAGAACGCACAAACTCCAAACAGAAAGACCACAACTGGGATTGGAACCAGGAGCCTTCTTTCTGTGAGGCAGTTATGCAAACCAACACACCATGTGCAGAACTGTTCTCACGAACCCTTTTAGCAAACATTTTACTAATGATGGGAAACATGGTGTTCACAGTGGTAAATATAGCTTCACACATGATATCACCCAGTATTCAAGAGCAAATGTTAAGCCTAATTTTTTGGCTTCTGTGCAAGTTAAGTTCCTTGATTTGAAAACTTACGTAAAACTGATAATTAATGTTTGCATATTATGTAATATATAATATATTTGCACAATTGATTTGAAAAATACAGTTTACAACTTGAACCACACGTTTACTCCATTTGGCAGTTATGGACGAAGATATATTCGGGCTCAATGTTTGCGGAAAAGAAATCATCCCATTATTATTGATTTTCATGCAATACACTGCTTAACTACTTTGCTCCCAAGAAACCATTCAGTTATGACATTTGCTAAATGAACAAGGTGAGACCTTACAATAAAAATGAGCAAAAAATGACAGTGGGGCACAGCAAAGTAAGTAAAGGCGTAAAATTTGATTGAGCTTTTTATGGTGTCTTCAAGTAGATCCGATCAGTCTGTGCAATTCTTTTCTCACAGTTTCTTATTGTCTACATCGTTCACATTTTTTAGGGAAATGATCACACAAATGACAAGGACTACACAAGTTCTCTCAGCATAAAACTCTGCTCTTAATAAGGTCTCCTGCTTCAGGTTTCTGGACGTCACCCACTGGTTTCCACAGCGTGGTTCACTACTTTAGCACTGCCAGTTCACCTTGTTTATCTGTTAGTTTAAGATGTCAGGAATACTATCATATCATATTGCTCTTTTAAGACTGTGTGGGTGATGCGAGCATTTCATCAACCCCTCAGCTGCTGTAACATTTTAGAAGTTGGAATTTGAAGTGAGTGTGTCAATGATTGTGGTTGAGAAAGGGTATTAGTTTTCTGAAAATAATGCAAGTAAAAATATACTGCAATCTGTTATCTAACTCCCCACAAACTTAGCCATAATATCCAGGCCTTCTTCCCGTAGCTATGTAGGCAACACCTCATTAGTGTCCCTTAAAACCCTTCATATATCAGACTCCTGCGCGCTGATCAGGTTCCAGAGCTTACACCTGACTGGTTGGCTTTTGTCCTCTCCAAAGTGTTCAGAGTGCGTGACAAGTTAGCCTTCTGCCTGTCCAGGCTTGAAGTGTTCCGTGTTTGGACAGCCGTGTTCCCGGCACCTTGTTGGTTGACCCTACTTCGCTCCAAACTCGAGGAGATGCGAGACTGTACAGTCCTCTCTCCGGTTGGCGTGTCCGAGGGCCGTAATTGGCCGGCTCTCCCTCTGTCCAGACTGTTCACTGTGTTTAACTGGCTGCCTCTGCCGGGCTCCGCAGCTCCGGGTCCACTTGATTGGTTGGCCCTCCCTGGCTGCTGATTGTTCAGGGTTTGCAGCTGGCTGGTCCTGTCCCTCTCGGGGAGTTTGGACAGAGCGGAGCTACTTCTGTCCGTGTTAATTGTCTGTATCCTCTGTCTGTCTCTTTCTCTCTCGAGACTGGTGTCTCTGCGCACCAGCCCGCTCCTCTCTCTCTCCAGACTGCTCTGGATCTCCGCCCTTCTGGCCAGAGCCTCCCTCAGCTGGTTGCGGAAAGTTTCGATCTTGGCCTGCAGCTCCTGCAGCTCGCCCTCCCACAGGCTGGTCTGGGCGGCCCGGTTCCCCAGTGGAGAGAGCACCAAACCGGTGGAAGCCATCGTCGACACGGGGCCCCCGTTGACGTGAAGGCTGATCTGTGGGGGAGAGGTAAAGCCCCCCAGGTTTCCCAACCCCAGACCCAGCCCCGGTCGCCCGACCATCCCCGGCCGGCCTCGCACTGATGCAGTGTGGGTACGCAGGCGGTAGCTGTGAAGCGTTTCCAGGTCAAAGTGAACACGCTTCTCCTTGGGTTCGTGGGACGGCGAAGAATTTCCAGTACCCCCCGCTGTGGAAGCAGGCAGGGATGTGGGAGGAGACGGAGGAGGAGGAGACTGACGCTGCTTCCTGTGGAGGGTACAGTTCTCTGAGATACAAGAGGTGGGGCTAGTGAAAGAGGGGAAGATCAAAGCAAAGGGGATATGTCTTATGAGATATCCATGTACAGCAGGATAACGATACCTAGTCTGATACATTCAGTCAGGATACAATTATTTGACCTCTAGTTGGTCTTATATGATAGATTTAAAGAGGGAATTATAAAGTTTATACAAAGGAAAAGCATGACAAAAATTACGGTAGTACCACAGGTTGCAGATTTTATGTGATCAAATTTGAAAAGAGCTATTAAGCAACTAAGCTGCAACTGTTACAGTTATTGCTCATGATTTGCTCCTTTGCATTTTTCAAAATGATTTTCATTCAATAATAAGCCCAGGGATTTCCAGCAAAAGATTCCTTTTGCATTGTTTTAGCACACGGTAAAAGAATCTGCCAAACGCTATTTCAACTTGTCCCTGACGTAGATTTATTAATAAAAATTACATTGTTCAATGTTAACAGAAATACGCATATTTACGCGAATGCATTTTGATTTGAAAATACAATTATATGCATATAGATTTCAGCAGAAACTATTGTTTTATCTGGAGTTTTAAACTACATTTTTGATTCAAGGCACCTTTTTCCAGGGGCTAATATTTTGGGAGCATTTTCCTTGACACGCTCCATAATCACAGGCCCTGGGTGAGATGTTTTATCCCCCCTAAAACACCCATGGGAATAAGCAGGACTTACAAGATTATCCACAACCTTCCAGGTGGGGCTTCCAGCTCTGAACATTTCTAAATGGTTGATATTCTAGCATTTTATTTCCACCTTCCTGTCACAGATATATCAGCTTTCTTCTTCACATCAACTCTTGACACCTACAGACATTAAGCTGTGTTACAGGAATAGTTGTCACTATTTCATGACAAAACATTCCAATTCTGCCATCCACATCTGCTTTAATCATCATGGAAGATGCAGCAAGTTCAAGGAGACCGATTTAAACACAGATGTCTGATAAAAATGATGTACAGGTTACAGATTGTGAAATAAAATGGATGGTGTGCACTTCCTGGTTTAACTGCTGTTACAGTTCAACTGATGCAGCAACAATTCAACTGATTTCTTTTTCCAAATCAGGCTGTTTTACGATCTAGTCTTAATCTTAGGTTGAAATACTGAGACTGAATTAAAGTTTAACACCTGAAAAAAAAAGTATGGTGAGATTTGATTTTATTGATGTACTTGTCAAAAAAAGGAAACACTGATCAGAACATGTCAAACTTTAGAACTCTAACAAGAGATGAAGAGATCCAACCTGACGGAACTTTTTTTACTCCCCAAGATGTCCGGATTGATAGCCGCATAGCACTGCATGTTTGTTTTAGTGTGTGACTTGCTAAAATTTTCGTGACAGGTAACCTTTTGCTCAAGATATATTGTTTACAGTACTGCAAATGTTGAAAATACTGGTTGGTCTTTTACAGGAAGTCATGCTTATAGCTCCAGTACAGGCAACACTTCTGGTTCTGAGTGAGTTTGTTTAAAACTTTGGATTGTTACTTTGTGAGAAGGAGGGTGTGATGTGACTGCTCATTCAGGTTGGAGATGGTGGTTCAGTGAATTGTGAAGTTTTCTGAAGGTTTTACATGTTTTCTTCGCAAATAAGGACTTCTAAAAGAGAAACATTTAATCTAAAAAAAGAAGTTTGCATTAACATAAATTTTAGGTTCATAATAGGTGAAAAAATGCCTTTTCCCATGAAAGAAAATACTGAAATTTTAACTGAAACCGAAAGATACTTGCTGTATAAGAATGAAATAGCCTGTCGAACAGCATATTTTTAGAATTAGTGGCAGTGCACTGAAAGCAAAATGTCAGTGAGCTCATTACTTTTGGTCGAGGCCTGTCAGCTCCTTCCCATCATCCTCATATGTCGTGTTGAGGGCTCGGTGAATTTTCTGCAAGCAGAAAAGATCATCAGGGATGAGGAATTTGTTATTGCTTCAGCCAATCTATAATTTCCAAGCGGAGCTCCTGTTATTCTACCCAGCTCACCTTCCCTTTAAAGCTCTCCTCTCCTAACTGCTGCTGAACACCTTTGAATAATTAAAAAAGTTCACTCTTCACGGCTTAATATTTGAGACAAGTTAAAGCACAAGTTGCGTAAGCCTGCTTTGATTAAAGTATCACAGAGCTTAGGTTAGCCTGAACATCTTCAATCAAGCAACTAGGTTGGAGCGTGCGTTAATTCTCCTCGCGCATTTACACCTGAAGATGTTTACCGAGAAAATAAGACTTTCATTATAGATAAGGATAATCTTGAGGGTCTAAGTCAAATGTCACGCTTTCAAATAGCTCAGCTGTTTTTATGATGAGTGCTGGAGACTGCCTGGGAGGAGCTGTCATTTTTTAAGAAATGCAGCAACCAATGTAAGCAGTCTTGGTGCTCACACTGCTAGTTCCATTATTAACTCAAAAAGATAAAAAAGAATCGCCTCCGTCATGCATCTTACTCGGCAAAGGCTAGGGTTTGCATAAGAAATAGGAAAAATAAAAAAGGCCTTTAAATGACCAATTTCTTGTTTACAAGATGTCTTAAAGTAAAAAAAAGAAAAAGTATCAGTTTATACTGTGTCCTTCTCTTTAAATTTAACATTCTGAATATCAAGTATGAATTATAACATATCAAGTTATTTTGATATCTGTACGCTTAATGATTGGTTATTTACAGATGTACAGAAGAAAATAATGCATAGATTCAAACTGCATGGTTTTGAGGCAGTTAATAAAACGCTCCCATTAGAAAACATACTTCATCTAAGTAATTGATATTAACTAGTTAATTTGAAGGCAACATTAAAACTTAATAAGGTAATTAACTAAGTGCGTTATGCGCATTAATGAATGCAATTAACTTAGTATAAAGAGGTCAAATTGAATGTGTCCTCCTCTCTCTAACACACAGTATAATCAGGTTTTTGCAACAAAAAAAACTGGTTTCTCTCTGCGTGTTGTTAGAGCTTCCCAACAGTAGAGGGCAGAGCTTATTTGCCAGTGAAGCACATGAGTACCAGACTGTGATGTGAACGTTACAAATGGTCTCCAAGCATCTTCTCTGCGTGCGCCCCGTGGTGAGGGGGATTTGACAGAGCGCGCGCACGTGCACAGCCGCGCACGTGTTTGCTCACCTGGCTGGTGTGCAGCCAGTACTGCAGAGTGTTGGTGCGGCGGAGGCGGGGGATCACCAGGTGGTAGAAGGTGTGTTCCCCTGCCAGGGTCAGCAAAGCTCCACCGACCCCCATACACAGCAGCACAAAGAGGCCGGAAAAATGCTGGATCCCCATCTGCAGAGTCTGGGCGAAGGGGGGGGGGGGGACAGAGACGGGTGAGAGGGAGAAGTCGGGGGGACTGACAGAGATCAGTGAAGCTTAGGAAAGACACAGAGACTGAACCGGCATGTTTAGGTAATTATCATTAAGGCCACTTTCTGTGAGTGGGAAAGTCCTATTCTGTTGTTGAGTATCTAATTTAGCTGCGTAAGCTCATAGGGATAGAAAGGAAAGAGGGCCATGGCATATGGGAGATGCTGGAGAGGGTTGAGAAGTATGAGAAGAAGACAAGCAGGGGAAGCAAAGAGGAGGATGGCTAAAGAGAGAATCGTGAAAAAAGAAAAAGCAGGTAGAGATATTTAAAAAAAAGGAGACAATGGTTAATTTAAGTTCAGCTCGTTCCCCATTTGGTTCGACCAAATCATCCCCGACATAAAGTCTATCCTATGACGTTTTCCAGAGCCCGCAGGAAGCAGAGCAGGCAATGGGAAGCTTTTTCCGTTCTCTGTAATCATGTTTTCTCCACCCAGCTCATTTCTGAGCTGCCTCTGATGGCAATTAGCCCCACGCTGACTCGACAAATTCATCAACGACAACAGTGAACTCCTTTTGCTCCCGATCCAGAGGGCAAGTTTGCGCTAATGCCCACATTGTTTCGGAGTACCCCTTTTCCCTAAGCTTAAAATGGGGAGAAGTAAAATAACATTTGGGCGTCGGGGTGAAGTTAAGGTTGTGTTGACATAATTCAACTTTGAATTGGGATTTAAAAGCCATAGCCACAGGGAGTTGAACAATTTCTCTGTTCAGGAACGAGATATAGATACAGACAGAATCCTCCGCATTGAGATTTCCACTTCCCTCAGAGGAGTACATGGAAAGGAAAGAACTTTTAATTCTCCTCTGTGGCTTGCACAAAAGATGAGGACAACTTTGTATAGACGCCTCCACACTATGAGGTCAGTGCAGCCGGGTGACTTTATATGGGCTTTATGTGATTATGTGTTTGTGGAACTGACTGGTTGTGTCACTGTGTTTATCTCGCAGCCAATCTCGTCAGCGTCCCAGAGGGAGACTCATTTATAGAAGTACACTAGCACAAGACACGCATGGAATATGAACACCAACACCAATAACTTGCCTCTGTTACTGCAAAGACTCTCTTTCCACAGGGTACAACCTTATACCATTTGTCATGTAGCATGTCCATGAACCCATCGGACTTGTAGCGACTCACAAACTCCGACACGTTACGGGTAAGAGGGGAGCCTTGGGGAAGTCCGATTCCATACCCTGAAAGGGAGAACAGACAAAGATGTATAGAAATGTGTATTTAAAAGGGCTTTAAATTGCAGTTGTGCCAAAGGAGGACGAGGTCGAACTCTGTGTTTTCTTGTAGGGAAACACACACTCGGCTGCTCGCAGTTAGCCAAAGGGCAGATGCCCCCTGGAAAAAGGAGACGTACATGTTTCAAGCTTCACTTTCAATCAGACTCAACCATGTTTTCTGACAAAGTGCACAGTGAATAGCAAGCTTTTACTGCTCAGCAGTTGTGTAAGGACTCAGCCCATGGTGTAAAAGAACACAGGACAACTTCCTATCATAAACTGGAGTCTGTTTATCATTTTGATATTACCTGAGAAGATTTCCACCATAATGAAATGCACAACTATGACTTTAAACAGTTGGACCTATTAAGCATTGCATTTCCAGGTTGATAGCGACTAGCTAATGACATTTATAGTCCGATTCAGAACAACTCTATTTCTGATTACTGTCCACTGAATGCATCTCGCAAACAAATATTAAATTTATTCTAGAAAAGAGGGAACATAGCAGCTCATGTTTAGTTTTGGAAACAGGAACACATCTTAATTTCTTTTTCACAGGGCCAACAAAAAGCCAAAAAAACATGGTTGAATAATAATATTGAAATTTATTCAGGTTACTTGGCAACAGGTTGGTAACTTGCTAAATTGGGTATGAAAAGGGATCCTAGAGAGGTAGAGTCTTCCATAAGTAAAGATGAGCAGATGCTCAGCAAAGTGCAAAAAACTGCATCTAATATCTGGAGTAATTTCACAACTATTCTTAACATCTACAATGTATAATATCATCAGATGTTTCAGAGAATCTAAAATACCACTGTCTTCTCAAAAGAAGAGACTTTCTAACAAACAGACAAATCAAAATTGGAAAATCTATTAAAAAAAATCATGGATGCATGTCCTGTGGATGAATAAAGAGAGGAGCTGTTTTCTCTTTGTAAAATCAGCCTGCATCTCTAATAATATGGGAGATATTAAAAAGGGATGATACATAAATAAACATTGAATTTATGACATTTGCAACTAGATGCATTCTGTTTTTTTAAAAATGTATTTCCATTTAAAACAGTTTCTGATTATCATTCAGAATGGGGGTCAGATAATTAGTCAATGTCATTCTGTGTGAGAGGGGGCAAAAAAAAAAAGAAAAGCCTTTCCCTCTTGGCCTTTCTTTTTTTTGGAGCCTTGTGAGATACCCAAGACTTATATTGCACTGTGGCATACTCATTTCTGCTCTGAGCACAAAACATCTGCCATTTTTAGGTTTTTATCAAGCAGTCTAATCCTATTTTAAAGAATGTAGTGGGATCAAGTAGTCTCTAGCTTCCAGACTGTCCTTAGTGGGGAAATTAATATAGATGCCATCATTTGCTTTTTGTGTCTGCTTAATTATTTCAGTTTCATTACGACTAACTCAATTTCGGGCAGTGTTTGAAGGCAGCTTATCAAAAGAATACTAAAAGGCACACAATTGTTCATACTGTTGAATTTTTTTTCCATTTTTTTAGGTTTAATGACACCTTCTTTAGTCATACCAGCTTTGTTGAGCTGAGGATTTTGTTTATTGATGGATTGTCACCGTCAATAGAAATCCCCCCCAGAGCATCAAACATAACACGGCCCCCTCCAGCGGATCTACCCTGACCTCATCAGCATGAGCCATGAGTAGTGAGGCTCTGCATGACGCAGATCCTGCACTCACTCCCCGCAGCCAGTAATGCAAGACCCAGTTTTGTATAAAGGCAAAGCAAAGGCTGATCACACTGCATGAGTAAGGGAAACCTAATAAAACGCAAATGTTATACTTTAGCCCTTTTATTTGATATTTTTCTTTTGGTGATAAGGTCAAAATTAGGTAATTGTAGCCTTTCTTTTTAAAAAGTAGGTTATTGTATCATTTTTGCAATAACACACATAACCTTTCATTTCTACTGACTGTAAGAATGGGCATGGTTTTGAAACACAGAAACAAATAATTTTCTACTTTCATCTATGACTAGTCAAATATCTATGACTTGAGCATAAGCACAAAGCCCAAGTGCAAAAACCAAATTACTTCTTTTGTGAAGTGCTTTCACTATTAAATATTATAGCTATGTCTCCAGCACACACACACCATTGACACATGTTCCTTTGCAAAGTGTTGCGAAAATGTTGAGTGATAGAAGTAAAAGGTATACAAAGGATAAATAATTACAGTAATCCTCAGTAAAAAAATATTTTCCCAACTGCTAAAGATACCAGATCGGGTCAAAGATGGACGTTTTAACGAGAGCTGGAAACTTTCTATGATACATATCAACATATTGCCAAAAAAAGCTCAGCTTCAGGCCCTCGGGTGGTCTATCCAGAGTTGGGTCTGTATCTTGTGTAGCATCTTAGACCTTGAAATGACTGCTCGCTGCCCATTAAGCCTGGCTGAGTCTGAAACATTCCCCCATGAGGAGTGATGTGCCAAGTTTGTGGAATCATCTCAAACAAGACTTAGGGCTGCTGTTGCTGCCAACCTCGCTGCATCCAAGCTGTAATTATCTTAATATAGCACTTATGTAAAATGGGATATCTTAATCTTTTTTCCCCTAAAATCAATCATTACAGGGGTCTGTATCCATTCCCAGATGAGTCGAAGGCACAACATAATGTAGTAAACTTTCCGCTGCTGCTTTATATTCAGTTATGCAGGAAATGAAAATAACTATTACAGTGCACTAAACTCATTTGATTAGTTGACACTAACTCAAGCGATTAGATCTTAGACTTACTTATTTCTTAGTAGATAGAGTCGAAATAGCAGTAAGTGGAGTAATGACACCAGACAGAGCAATAAATATACGGCTACATAATTACACAACTATAATATTTTCAATCAAGCAGCAGATTAAAGAACTAGTCCCAACTGTGTTTATTCCTTTGGTTCCTATAGTCATTTAAAATGTGGGGAGAGCTGTTATTACGCAGACCGGCTGAAGCTGCATCTGATAGGTATTGCAGCACGCATCTTCCGACATACGAAGTGGAAGAAATCTGTCCCCCAGCTTGGAATCAAAATACTTTTTTTTAAGAATTAAACCTATACAAGAACGCCCCAGGGATGTTTATTTCATTTGATGTGTTGTGCAGTCGGAGACTCGGAGCGTGAGTGTCTGTTTTAATGTGAGGGGTTGTCTCTCGCTTGGCAGCTGTTCGTCAGCGTGCTCGTGTGTGAGCGTGTGTGAGCGTGTGTGTGTGCTACGGGGCCTGTCAAGGTGTGTGTGCCTGATGGGGGTTGTGGACAGAAACAGAGAATGGGGAAGGTTCACACAACTGTCACACTCCGCTTCCTGCGTGACAAAGACTGTCTGCACCGGCATCTCTTTGCTCTCACCCTCTCTTCTGTCTCGATTTCTTCCCCTCCTTCTCCCATCACTTTGTTCTTCCCCTTTCTCTTTCTGAGGTCATCTTGCTCCCACAACTGCCGCTGGTCCTCCGCTAGTCCCTTCCATATCTCTGTCATCCCTTCACTTTGTTCATTTTCTGCTTCACTCCTTTTTTCCTCTTTATCTTCCAGCCCCTCTCCTGAGTCCACGGCTTTCTCCCTGTGTGATTCCCTCCTCTTTCTTTATATTTCCAGTCCGACAGACAGCATTTCTCTGTCATGGGCCCATCTCCATTCACATTCCTTTAGAGCGCTCAGTCAAACAGTGATATACAAGTGGGCAGCTACTTGTCATTTGTTTTGATTCTTTCCCCCAGACACTGGCGCACTCCACCACAAGCTGAAGTCCCAAAGACGTCACTCAAATTCCCACACATCTCCTCACAGAGGCCCAGCGGTGCACATCAATTTAGTTTTAAAAGCACTTGATAAGTCGGTAAAAAAAACATGGTGTGTTTGATCTTGGCTCTTTAATACATATTTTCGTAAACAATATGGTCAGTGTTTGATCTTCCAAATAGATTTCTTTTTATTTAGTATAATTTTTAGTATGCAGGAGGAATGCGGCGAAATGAAAGCTGATATTAAGAAAAGGTTAATGGGTGCAAATCAAAGCTCAAATATGAAAACAGATTCACCCTGATGCATGTAATACTTCTTTCATGTTGATTCATCTTTGGTTTCAAATGTTGAATGTTTAAAAGTTGAAATAATATGGCAAATTCAAATTTTACTTTAAAGTTTACACACACACACACACACGCAAACACGCACACACACACATTTATGTATGTATCCTTTTTAGCAGGGCTGTGTGAAGTTCTGAGGAGCCGTCAGTATCTTATCTGCAGTAGACAGTGGTACAATTCTTCTTAGTTTGGGGAAGTAGAGGGTTTTCTGTAGGGCAAACTAAAAGCTAATGAGAATACGATAACCAGAAGAGCATTTTTTATCCCTTCTGAAACAGCTTACGGTAGATGCAGTGAGAACTGCTGCTTTGGATTTAACTGCACACCACATCTGCATCAGACAGTTGTTTACTTTGTTCTTACACCGCAGCCGGTTGCTGCGGTTACAAACCGTTAACCACAGAATGCCCTTGTCTTAGTAAGGGCTGTGGTTTGCTCCGTAATGAGCGTGGTCGAACACAGTGTAACCACACAGTCGGTGTGACTATCTGAGACCCAAGTGTCCTCACTGTCATTATTAAGCTGTAATTGTCTGTTTTTTAGCTGGTAATCGCTTCTATTGCACTTAAGACATCGACGACATCAGAGTAGTCGGTGTCTTTCCTGCATTGCCATATAAAAACAGTCTTTAATAATTTGATCGGAAATGTCAAGAAACATTTCACTTTGATACAAAGAAACTAAAAAGTACAGATCATGCAAAAAACTGAAATCAGGAATAACAGCCTGACGTCTTATGATTTTGACATTCACCAACTATTCTGCTTGATCCAGTCGACTTTCCGGTTTTGATTTGACATGACTGACATTGGGTCCTTCTCAACAAAAAACAACCACAGTATTTTATTCAGATATGGATTTGTTTTTCCAACGTATGCTGCAAAAGCTTCATTGCGCTCAGATGTGGGAAGTTTGGAAGCAGGGGCTCAGGGGTTCGGACTGTTTTTTTCTCCTGAGCACTAAACACAGCCCTTACTACACTGAAGAGAGTCGACAGCTGCTGATGCATTTTTGGGAACTACTTAGATTTGAAAACCGCTGCATAATTATATGCTGGATAATCTGAATTATCCCTGTAGCATAAATAAATAAATAAAACCACAAAGCACACCTGCACGGTGATGCTGCTATTTTTGGTGAAACAGTAGGCTGGAACTGAAATGTCTCTCATCAAAACTCTCATCAAGCTGAACATTTGAAAGTTATGTTTCTCGTGGAAATCGGGGATCATTTAAAATGTTCAGCTGCACCTGTGGTTGTTGCAGTGCAAAAAGAAAGTCGTTTAAATTAATATTACGATATTTGCAGTTTTAAAAGGAGCAACAAAGGTCCAAAAGAAGGCTCCAGGAGGGACTTTAATAATAATCTTTGAATCCCGTGGCTCGTGAGCTGCTGGAGACGAGCCACCGCGTGGCTGCGACATCAAGCATAAATTTCATCAAAGAGGAGACTAATTTGCTTTCTGATCATCGTGCGCTTGGTATGAAAAAACATTAACTTTAAGCTATCATTAGTGCTCACGCTGTTAAAAACAGCTTTTTCCGAACAATCTTTTTTCCCCCAGTGTGGACAGATGCATTTCAATGATGTAAGCGCCGACAGTTTTGACTGATACTGCTGGAGGGAGTGGTGTGTGTGGCCTGGTTCAGAATATTTATTTAGGTGTTGATGCGTATCACAGTAACATCCATATGATGTCAAAACATTGCCCAAAGCCAACTCTGGATTACCTTTACCCCACAGCACACAGCACATCCCGCTGCTGTCTCCTTCCCTGGAAAACATTGCACCCAACTGGTTATCCACATGATGTAAGTGAAGAAAATATTCTGTTGTTTATTTCTAACGAGAAAGGCTCCTTGCTGATGCATGTCTGTTTAAGATCAGCATTCAGATAGGAAACTTCATCAGCATTTAATGCACTTGTTGACCATCTATCCCATCTATCTATTAGTTCTATGTCAATACTTCCTCTACAAAGCCATCCTAAGAAGGTAAGACTCTGGGTAAAATGACAAACTTTTATTCTTAAAGGAACTTAGAAAAGATCTAAAAATGTTGAAAGCGAGATAGCGCACAATTCAGTGAAACATGCTGGCCTTTCTTTGAATTTGCTGGAACTAAGGTGCTAAATACTAAGCTGGATTTCGGGTCATTAAATGTTAAGAGTTTTCAGTTGGTGAGAAGTTAGTACCGCAGGCAAATCCGTCCAACATCTGGACTATTTATTTCATTACACAGCCATGCTGTTATTCTACAGTTTCTGTTTAAAATAGTCTAGTTCATTCCGAATAATGAAAATGTCCTAATGAGATTTTATATCTATGTTCTATCATGAAAAAATCCTGACTGTCTAGATTAGTTTGCATTAACATTTATTTAACATGCATGTCTTTGTGCAATATTAGTATGGTATTAGAGAATTTTTTCATTTTTATATGTCGGGTCCTTGTGTTGTAATTTGACCAACACATATAGATATATGGAGACACACATAGGCAGACAAAGGTATCCATATGAAACTCGTGTCAGACGTGACCTGACCGACCAACAACCGTCTCGCTCTGACAACAAAATCTTCTGCCAGCCTCGTTTTGATCAGCAGACATCCTCCGCCCCGCTTGACTGAACTTGTGTAGACCACTCATGCACATGGGGACACACACTCGCAAACACAGACCTGCCTCGCGCGCACTTACAAACAAGCGGGGAGCGGCATTGTGTTCTGTGGCAATATTATTAATGGGGTGTGTCTCGGCTGTCGTAAACATCTCCCAACAGCACTCAGCGAAAACAGACACACAGCGACACCCCCGCATCTCTCTCCAGTTAAGCAGCCGGAAGATTTGGACCGAGCCCCTCGCCTGCAGCATTTCCACACTCCCTGTATCTTCTGACCGTAAGCTTCTCTATAAATTCTGCCCAACCTGTACCAAATAACACTTCCCCTCTCCCTTTCCCTCCAGCCCATCTCAACCCTTCCTTAACCCCCCTCCCTTGGTCCATCGGCTTGGGGTGAAGGTTTGTCTTGATTAGGGGACTCTGTTGGCTGGCTCTTTTATCACTTGCTGTGCAGAAAGGCACAAACTGGCAGTGGGCAAATGAAAGCCCTCTATCTCCTTCTTATGCTCAACTCCTACTCCCCTCTCTGGCCTCGTCTTTCTACCTTTGTTGTTCTTTCTTCTTCCTCTTTCATCTCATGTTTTTTCCTGTTTTTTCCTTACAATCGCCTCCCCTACTCCACACGTACACACACACACACATAAATATTTATGTATAAACATGTATATGTGTATATATGACTCTTCCTTCCAGAACTATTAAGACTGACTTATTCACTCCCATCCTCCTCATGCAGACCGGTGGAGTGAATAGCTACTGATGCCAAAGTAGATTCTTAACCTTCTTTTTCATGTCAACTATGACTCAAGTAGTCATCAAATGGACTCGCTCTACATACAAATGAGGCTCGCTTTCCCGTCTACACACTCATGAGCAGAGCAACAGTAAGTGCATCCCGGCTCAATCTGTCTGATACAGTGAAGAAAGCGGTTCATAATCTCTGCTGCACAAAGGAAGGATTGCTTGAATGCGGGAGTGTTGTGTGCAAGTTGAGAAGTAAAAGATACCAGACAGAAAGGCTGGATAGACACACGAGTACACATAGATATCTACCTGCATATAACTGGGTAGTGTGCAGGCCGGAGGAACAGAAAGCAGCCAGCTTTGAGGTTAAAGGTTTGATATTGCTAATAAATGTGCCAGCAGACCTTTCACAACAAAGTCACTTTCAGAGGGCGTATATGCAGAGATGGCATGTGACTGGAATACTGTGGGAACTACAATAACAGCAGGAACTTCTCAATTTCCACTGTGAAAGGGAGAGATGGACTTTTATGAGCGCGAGGACAGAATCTCTTTTGGCAGATCAGCCGCAGCCCTTTAATTCCACAAGTGATAAAATTTACTTCATGTGCGCGTTCATATCTCTGCAACTGATCCAATTACAGCTGCAGGACAGAAAGTCCTAATAGTGTTATTTTTTTCAATCAATGAAGGCTGTAAGATGGAATCAAAAACACGATTAATAACTGGAAATGCATAATTACAGTCAAAGCCTTAAAACAATGTGAAATAAGACCTCATTAGTTAATACAGAAGCAGCAATAACTGCCTACGGTGACGGATTCCATGTTTGTGTTCCAGCATTGTCTATATATTTCACAACAAAAGAAATATTTTCGGCATATTTTTAAGTGAACAGTTTGAGCACATTTCTTTGCTCAACATGTAAGCTTTATGGCAGAACAAAATTTCTAATGGGAGTTTGGAGGTTCAGTTTAATGCTTTTGTTCCCCATCTATGCCGTGGTGCATGCTGTGATTGTCAGGCAGAACAAAGGGCAAGACCTCAGTTAGAAAAAAATGCCTTCCCTCTGAAAGAAAAATCTCCTTCATGAGCTTCACTGGCACATGCACATACCACACAAAACTCACTGTCCACGCTCTCGCACATACATATGCACAGGAACTTGCATCCAATAACCCCCTGTGTGGGTCATTAGCTGTTCTCCGATTGGCAGTGGATTTGTTTGTATGCTTCATGGCTGTTCACCAAGTCAAATCCAAAGTCTACGGACTGAGCATTGTGTTGTTAATAATAGATGATTTAGTAGCCTGTGGCATCACAAGTTCACACAGTCTTTATCCTGTCTGTCATCTAACCAAGTCCAACATGTTCTCTGAATCTGTGTGAGCCATGTTTCATTTTTTTGTCTGTTCTTTTTGTGTATGAGTGTGTAAAAAAGCCCATGGTGTGCCACTGTATGTGTTATATACAAATACACTATTTCTGCAAGTGTACAACTATAGGGTCAAATATGAACCTTAACGAGTCAGCTTTTTTGTGATTTTATCTATCAGATTAGGCTGATCAATCTAGTCAATGGTGACTAAAATGAAGGCAAATGGCTGATTCCAACAAGGTCGATTAATTCTTGTCTCACTTTCAGTTAAGACAGTTTGCAGTAACTGTAATCTTTTAAAGTGGTGTTGAGCTGTTGTTCTCCAGGCATTCTGAAGGTCTTCCTAAGATTTCCTTTGGAGATGGACTGCTTTTTTATTTATTTTCTATTCCAGTTCCTGTACTTTACCATTTTCAGAGGAATGCTTTTCTTTGTTTCTTCAGCCTTTTAACGCTGGCATATGAGTCATTCAAGCAGAAAAAAGGCTCTTAACTCAGGGTCGAATAAGCAGTTTGTTAACACATGACAGAAAATGCGGCAAAAAAAACGGTTTCAAAGAAACGGTTTCTCAATCAATAATGGGAATGAATATTGATAGTTTTTTTTTATCCATCACGCAGCACCCATTTGAAAGCATCTGATTGGCTTCAACTTAATTTCTCCAAACATGCAATGCAGCAAAAGCTTAAGCGTGGAGAAAAACACTTGATAGAACTACCGGTCTTTGATGTGTTTTTCATTTTAAGTTTGCACATGTTTTAATAAAACATGCAATGATTTCCCCTTTTTCCCAGCAATATATGAAGAAATAAAGTACAATAAAGGCTAAAAAGTCCAGACATAAAACCTCTTGATTTTGAGTGCAAAAACTTGAGAAAAATGAGAAAAGAATATAAACCCTTAAAGCAACAGAGGTGAAGACAAAGACTTTATAAATGATCAAAACAAGTGTGTCTGTCGGAGTTTGCACCTTCAATAGCGAAAGGCTTCCCCACAGTGAGCAACTTGCAGTCTGCGTCGATAGAGACCTCAAAGTCCAACAGAGCCTTATCCATGATGAATGCATCCAGGGCAGGAGGATCTGTCCTTTACCACCAACACACACACACAGACAGACACAGAACAAGGCAAAGACAGGGAGAGAGAACAGTATTAATTGAAGTGCACTAATCTGGAAATAAAGTAAATCTCAAAGCAGATCAAATTGACTTTCCCACACTTATCCCAAACCCTCGAAGCCTTTTCAGGAATCCCAAATTCGGGGCTGTCATGCTTTGTCATTTATACAGAGGATAAGATTAACTGCAGTCTACTATACTATGTAAACACATACATCATTACCTAAACCAACAGCCTCTGTGGCAGACTGATAAGACATAATAAACTTGGCAGAAGACTCTACTACTCAGTCTGTATTGATCCAATTGACTCTAATTGACCCCTAATTATAGTCCGTTCCTGTGCATGCAACCTGTGCTGCTGGCCACAGCTGGCTCCAAAAAACAAGAGCAGCTACATAAATACAATACTAAAAAGATAAGAAAAGCTCAATTTGAAAACAAAACACAAGACTTAGAACAGATTTGATGAGCAGAGAGATAAACAAACTTACATAATACGACAGAGAGCACTGGCATACAAAGTCTACTGGGGGAACAAAAAGACCAGTCTGATCAAATTACTTGAAACTTGTTGTTATTCAGGACATTTACCACTAAACAAAAAGTTTACTTCACAAAGTCTTTGCTGCACTGACAAAGGACGAAAGGACTGTTTTTCCTGTCTAGACATGTCAAACACGAGGCACAGGGAGTTGAGGATGGAGACTTCTTGTGGGACTAAAGGAGGCCTGAAGTTTTCGGATACATGGCCTTGGATTAACAATTCCAAGGCACAGTGTGCCTGTGCTTAAGCATGTGCATGTATGCATAGGCATGAAAGTCTGCGGTGAGAACTGTAATCTTTAAGTCGTGCATAGATGCAGCATGTGCTTGAGCGTGTGTTATTTCCACTGAACTTATACGTTTGTGTAGTTGAGTTTTTTTTACCTCTAAGATTTGAGAGGAGTATTGAGGTCAGTAGTTCTGCCAACACTGTATTTCACATCCGCACTCGGGCTCTCTGTACTGCTGTGACTTCCACTTCTGCTTCGCAAACAAACGCCACCTTCATCATCCTCTTTCTCTGAACAAGCGCTTTATACCGATATAGAGTCAGCACATGCACTATCTATGTATCTCTCCTGAAACTCTATGGGGTAGGCATCCTGTCTGAGCACTCTATATGTGGTTCTAAATGTATTTACACTCATGTATTTGCGGTGTTCAGTAGGGAATATAGCCAAGTTATGTTTTTTCTTCTTTGAAGAATAACATCCCCTAAGGAGTCGTTACATAATACGTTACGCAAGCTTGAACGTGTTTTTAACCCCCGATTAGTTGTAATTAAAAATATAACAAGACATCGACGCAATCATCTGCAGGTGAGGAGGAAGCTGAACATAAAGGATGTTTGTAGTGCCTCTCAACGTCCTGCATTTGGACAGCAATTAGCAGCAGAAGCTAACTTTAGGCAAGGAAAGCAAAACAGCTCAGGCTGCCAGAAATCAGTGTACTCATCACTAACTATGATCAAGTATGGTACAGACACATGCGTCAGTGTAACTGATAACTGCTGGCATCTTCAAGCAGTTGAAGCATCCTAAGGAGCTTCAACTGCTTTTTCGTGAAAAGTGTTGCATAAATATTTCCATTATTTCCAAGGTTTGACTAAATATTTAAAAGAGCAAAGATTGAAATACTATTTGTGCTTTCAGATCAGGTTTAAGGATCCAAGCGGCATCTTACTGAGAACCCACAGACACGATGCGTGCTGATGTGAACATATGGACGTTGTTGGTGGCTCAGGAAGCACAACAGGTGGCCCACCAGTCTCACAGTTTGTTAGTTATCTGGTCCCAAAGGTGTTCCCACAGGCAGAAGCTTGGATTGTAGCTGCTAAGATCACAGCATTGTGACCGAGCTAATATGAAGCAATTACCACACATTGGCATGCTATACTATGTTACTGTCATATCAAACCCCTCTCGGAAAGCAGCTAATAAAGGTTTTTAAATGCAGAAAAGATTCAATATAGAAGAATGAATATGACTCAGATGATAAAGTTTTCTGTAAATCTCCCACATCTCCCAGATTTGACCTTTCCCAGGTCATGCTCCACTCAGACTTTTACATAAGTGAAGGACGCCTTGCCTTCTTTGTCCTTTTAGTTTCACAAAGCTGTATGTGAAGCACTTTCAACGACCCTTTGTGAATCGAACTTTAATAATAAACGGGTCTTGTCTTCTTGCTTTCATCTGCTTTCTGCTCCCATTTGACATCCCACTGAACCATTCATCCTTGCCGTTAATTACTCTAATCTGTCCCCGACTCTTATTCATTCCTACGCTCAACACCCCGTTTCGAAGAAGAAAATGATTTCCCTCCTAAATTGGGAGTCCTTCGTCAGTTAAATCTATGTATGCTTTCTCCTCACTTTTACTCCACTCATGCTAATGTAGAGCTTAAATGCATACAGCATCGGGTAATTGTTAGTATCTTTGACAGATGGCGTTCCAAAACTGTGTGTTCTCCATAATGGGAAAACACTGACAAGTGTGTTATACACAAATCTTAAGCAAGAAATACCACATGCAAATCCCATGTTTTCTTAATATAGATCATAATTAAAATAGCCTCTGACACTTTAAATCTTTTGGGTTTGCCTTTGTTATCAGCAGAATTGTTATGCAGAGCTTGGATGAAAGATAAGTGCACTGAGAATAGACAACCTCAGATGGACGTGAATACATTATTCAGGTGGACGTGAATAGATTATTTAGGTCCGCGTTTTAAGCACAGTTAAAAGGTGGATCCTCCACTTTTTTTACAAAGGTATTTGCTTACTTTAACATGTGCACGCCCTCTGGTGTTGTGGGCTGGTTGAAGCGTCTCATGTAGTCGTGCATCTCCGGGAAACTCTTCTTCATGTAATCCTCAGCACTGCTCTCCCTCACCGTTCCAAATCGGAAGCCCAGGGAGGGATGGTGCAGCTGAGGAAGTCACAAAGGAAGCAAAGGGTGGATGTGGGGTTGGAAATGCCATTGGAGATGATGAAGAGTGGAAAAGATGGGGCACATATTAAATTCGCTGAAGCCCTTAACTCCCAACAAGATTTAGGGATAAGGAAGGCAATAATCCCACACAAATAATTATGCCCTTTGCTGATTAGCTTGCCCTTTTGTTAGATTAGTTTTTTTGCGCACATATTGAGTGTGGAATATGTTGACATTCATGCAATTGCAAGTTTGTGTCTTAGCGATGGGGCTAACCTTGTCGTCATGGATTCCTGAAACCTGCTCAAAGGTTTTTTCTCCCACCATGACAGCGGCGAGGTTGGCGGTGTAACTGGACAACACCAGTAGGCAGAAAATAGCCCAGAGGTTCATCAGGAAGCGCCCGGTCCAGCATTTTGGAGTCTGCAGAGTGTAAATGTACAACAATACAGACTTTTCTGTGGTTTCGTCTGATTATTGACATAATGTAAAACTAGAAAGCAAAAAGCACAACATGAAATAAAAAGAAGACAGAAAAATATCAGCAATCCAAAAAAGGTGCACAGAATCTGACTGTAACCAACTCCTAAAATCCAGACGCTGCATAATTACATTCCAAAAAATGCTTCTTAGATGCTTAGCAGATTTATCTTTACATGAAGGTTTTTGAATTGTTTAATCAATTAAAATCCACTTAAGAGAGGTATAACACACCTCCAATGTTTTAACGGCTTGAAATTAACGAGGCCATACTTCTATAAACAATTTTGTAACTTTTAATAATGGTATGTAAATATGATTTTATACTGTGAGAGCATCAAACTCTAAGCATAATTAGTTGGTTAATTGAAAAGGGAGAAAGGGAGGATGGATTATACTCTAGGCATTGTATCTAATGTATTTTGGAAGAAATATCACCCTTGGTAGGTTATAAAGATTCCTCTTTGCTTTATGATTCTCACTGAAGTTAATGATTAAGGTCACTTGAGTACGTGGTTTGTGTGTGCGGCACAATGTCGATACTGCTGGTTTTGATTGGTGATGTTTGTTTCTTAAAGACTTTGTGGCATAGCTAAGTCCTGTAAAAGAGTTTAATGTTTAATTTAATGTTTAATTTTACTGGCTGCAAACATACTTAAATGACGAGAGTACAGCTGCATATTCTGATTTAAAATGTCGCCATCCTCACTGATCCAAGAAGAAGAAATTAAGCATTGTTCATAATGAAGCTCATTAAGCGGAATTTAAAACAGACTCCCAATTCACTCCAGAGTCAGTATGAAAGCATAATACACATACTATATAATACACATAATACATGCTTGCTTGGATTCACACGTTTATGCAATTTACAAGAAAAATAGCTTTTAGGGTCTGATTATATGTTGGCAAAGCTCTGTGCTATCCCAGTAATTCTTGGAAGAGTAAGCTGAGAGTCTACAATCAATACAGGACAGGGCTGTAAATGTGATACTAAAATCTGATAACACCCACATCCAACTTCAACACAGCTTCAACAGTGTGTGTGATAGCCGCGATTTGAGGTGCAACCAGTTGCAGCCCAGAGGAGAAAATAAGAACGGCTAAACTAAAAACACACAAAAAAGGGAACGATGCTAAAGAGAACACATCAACTAAAAATGTCATGTTCAAAGACAAATCAAAGAAGAATAAAAGAAAATCGCATGAAACAAAAAAAATTATAAAATCAGAAAAATCACAGTTTAAGGAAACAAAGCAATAACACAGCACATTAAAGAAATGAAAAAATACTAAAAAGATCATCAATAGGTCAAGAGAGAGTAAAAACCCAAACCTCTAAGGACTTGAAAACAAATTGAGCACACCAATGCAAAAGAAAGCACAACTTTGAGAAAAACTATCAATCATAATTAATATTGAAAACCTCTGCATATTCATTTTCTAAGAAATTAGCTTGAAAATGTTCTCTGAACTTTTCCATTTTCCTAATTGTTTTGTTTTCCTGTTTGCTCTGTTTTGTTGAGGCTGTGGTGGCTCCTCCATCCTCTCTCTTAAACAGAAAGTCAGGGGTTTGATCTCCACCTCCTCTTGTGCAAAGTGTGAAATGTTGCTGATTTTCTGTATTGTTTTGCAGTTCAGGGTAGGAGTAGAGAACTAACATTCTTCTTTATGATTGTTTTTGGCCTTGGAGGGAATGCTCAATTACAGCAGTGCACAGTATCCAGATAAGCAGAAGATTGCACTTGGAGAGCTCAGTCAAGAGGGTTAAAAAGTTTACAAGTGTTTTTTCTGGCATTTTAGAACAAGCTACACTTTGCTTTGTTTTTCCATTAGATATTTCCATAAAGTTCACTGTGCATAGCTGCTTTGTCTTTCCTATGCCAGCTGTGTAATGGACTGCTGATGTGTTCAGAATCTTGCCCTGATCTTGTCAGCTGGGATTGGCTCCAGCTCTCCACACTCCTCTGCAGAATAAAGTGGATGTATGGAAAGATCAAATCAAATATTGAAACTGAACTCTACAATAAAGGTTTGGCGATCGATTTACTCGCCCTGTCCTCCCCGTAGTGCGCGTAAACATCACACTTTGGCTCTGACTCAGCATCCAAGAGTTCAGAGTGTTGCTGAAGGACATTTTAACAGGTCACAAGGTTGCTAATGAACACAACTGTTAACTGACACTTTGCCAGTTGTGAAGATCAAACCTGCGACCTTTTCAATTAGACGAAAGTCTTTCTAATCACTTGGCCTCTTTTTGGACTGGGCCATTCACCCTGCTTCTTTTTTGTAGTTAAGGAGACATTATGCTGAGCTGTGTAGTCACATAGAGGAAAGGCATCATTTGGGCAAATGAAACCGCTGCTTGGAGATTTCACAAACAAGCATATGTTATAAACAGTGATGGATTTTGGAACGCCGCGCTGCTGCGTGAAAACAAAGAATGCAGAGGGCCGAGTCATTAGTCATCTGTTTTGTGGCTGCGAGTGTACAGGTGTGACTGGGGGTGTTGCACAATCTGTCAAATCTGACACATTGCTGAGGAATGTTGCTACTACAAAAGGCACATTTAATACCTCTACATATTTATGTCTGAGAAATAAATACAAAACAATGTGGAGTTTTTCTTTTAATATTCCAAGGTAAGAAGATTGTTTTTCAAGGTGTTGCATATTTATTAACAAACAAAAAGCAATTACATTTCTCTTCTGTTCTAACCCCTGATGGCCGGCGTTCCAACTATGCCCCGTCACATGCTCTCTCTCGGTACATCATTCCCTCCCTGCCCACCTCCACCTCCACCTCAAACTTTTCGCCTCTTTATGCTTACCCTTTCAACCTCATCTCGCCATTTATCTGTCAGCTTTCCTATTACCTTCTTTTCTCGTCACCTTTGAATCGCTTCACCTGCAATCTTCCTGCTGCCTCCTTGTTTTCAACTTTCTGTCTGACTACTTTGGGGAGTTAACCTCTAACCACTCCATCTTTCAGCACCTTCATCTATTCCCATCGTCCTCACCACAGCTCCTTCAGTCTCTGTCGACACACTTACCCTTTCGCCTTTCCCTCCCCGTGTGTGCATCATCCTCCTCGCACCTCTGTACTTCATCACTGCCTACCCTCTTAACCTTTCCCCTATCAATCTTTTTTTCCTCCATGGCCATCTCCATCATCTCTGCCCTGCCTGTTTTCCCCTCATTTGACTTGCCTTTACCGTTTGTGTACTCATCCCCGTAATGTGCCTCCCCTCTCTCCTCCTCTATTCTTGTGAATTTCTTATTTCTGCTCCACCTTCTGGGAGGCCCTATTTATCAGAGAGAACAGAGCTGCTTTACCTTGGTGGCGACAGTGCGTCCAAACAGTATTGCGTAGCAGAGGTTGAGGGCAGAGGAGTAGGAGAAAACACGCAGCCTGTTCCTGCCGTGAGGCGTCATGCCAAAGGGACTGTTCCACTCGTACAGAGTGAGGAAGAGTGCAGTGAGATGCAGCGTGACGAAGATGCCCACCCACATGGACCAGTGAAGTGGCCACATGAAGGCTCCGATGGGAGCTGCGGTGTCCCGGCTACGGACCTGGAAAGCCAGAGACAAACACCACACTGGCCTCATGTATTTGAAGTCGGTAACATAAAGTAATTGATGCAGAACCGAGAAAAACAAATTTCCCTCCAGCCTGTAATATCTTGACATGATTAGTTTGAAAAGAAATGCATCCAATTCACTGTAGTTTGTGTTGCTCATCATTTTTGTCAAGGCATGAAATAACTGTTTCAAATGATTGAGCTCTCATTTCCAGAGCTGTATTGTGTTGCAGACTTTTGAGCTGCCTCTCAGTTTGAACTTCCCTAATTAGCATGCTCACTACCAACTCCACAAACTAATTATTGCTCAAAGAATGATCTCCTGTTCCTCATCAGAACACCAGGATTAAAGGGGCATTAGGGCAAAAATAAAAAAGGTTGCATACCATCAGATCAAAATGAAATGGTGACGGCAGCAACAGCAGAAGACATTAAAGAGTCACTGACTCCCAATGCGGTATTTTCCGCTTTTTTACAACATGCCTTATGTCTCCAGTCATAAAAATTCAAATTTAAAACTCCAATCATGATTGGGAGCAGTTTTACCAATATGCCTAGGCTGGTGGAGTAGAAGGGCGACGTGAAATCTATGACTCTGCTCCTGGCCGAGTTAATGGAGAAGGAGGTGACGGCCATGTCAGCGGTTCCACTTCGCAGGTCCCCAACAAGGCCGGTCCAGCGCCCCGTCCCGCTCAGCGCCCCGTACTTCCCGTCTCCCACAATGTAAAGGTCAAAGGCAAAGCCCATGTCCTCCGCCAGCTTCTCCAGCAAGTCGATGCAGTAGCCGTAGCAGCATTTCCTCAGGTCGTCCGGTAAATCTGAGGGGAAAGAGGTGACGCTGTCAGATGTATCCATTGGCATTCTCATGCTCGCTCTGCGCAGAGAACACACCTCTGGGACTTTGGGCTCCACAAGGAATCGTGAAAAATGCTGATCGATTGTCAAAAGGACACTTCAGCCTGGACACTTTTAATAACTCTGGCACTGTGGCCAGGACTGCATTTATTAACATAAAGCAAGAGGGGAGTTGGCAATGTGAAATACGCTTCTATTCATTTTTTGTTGTTTTAATTTTTCTGGCAAACCATTTTTTCTTTTTGTAATCTCAATTAATTGAATTCAGCAGTGTGCCAATTCTTCCTGCTTGGCAGGAACACCTTCAATAACCCAAGCACAAGAATGAGCACATGGAATTTGGATCCAAAATGTGCTGTAGTTAAAGCGAGCATCAGTCTAACCGAGAACGGTATCAACTTGTAAAGAAACGTCTATACCCGTCTTCCATTTCAAACGTGTGAGTCTAAGTGAATGAGAGTGAAAATAACTGAAAAGAATTTTACACCCACACTGCGTGCCAGATAGTTGCTCGATATTCTCATGAACTAAAGAAACGTGGCACCCGATGTATCTTTGATACGTTTGCCCCTATGCATTATTGATGGAACGCCTTTCATACTCATCGTTCACGAAACTGAAAAAGGGCCGAAGAGCCGAGCCCTTGACACTACACCCGATATATAAGTTTGAACTTCACTGACCATCGATGATCTCTTATTGATAACGCTTCAGAAAATAATTGAAGTGCGGTCGAGATGTGGTCGGTCCGAGGGTGTTACAGTAACGTCTCGGCAAAAAAGATCCAAGAGTTTACCCACAAGGAGCTCAGCCTTAAACCAGTAGACTTTGGCTCTGCGTTGCTTTGTATTCTACAGCAGACAGTCCTTCCTCTGTGCAGGTGGGATCATCTGCTTTTTTCATTTCAGGTGTATGAAACCGCAGCGCCACAGACAAGACAAACACCTTTGCTGTGTGTGTGTTTATTACATTATATTGATTTAGCACATGCTTTCGTCAAGAGCAGTGCACAGGCTTTTTGCTTTGAGTCTATTTGCAACAGGCTTGTAGCTTTGGCGGGCCTGACAGTCCTTTGGGAGTAACTGAGCACTCTGAGCTCTGCTCCAGTCAGCTGGGAGGCAGAAGTCGATCTGTAGAGTAAGTCCTTACTTTGGGACATACATTTGATCATAAATTGATTAGTCATGCACACGATATGAGATATGCACAAACAAATTAGATGCCAGTGATTGATGCTGGGTGCCAAACTGTAAATTGATTTGATAAGAGTGAAGGAGTGAGTCAGTGTGACAGTGTGTGGATGCAAAAAGTTGTTTACAACCGCAATTTCTACATCTTTAAATGGCGTCAGGTCAACACCTTTTGTGTGCTTAGCTGAAGTAATCTTCCAAAGATGATCAGTATCCAATAAAGGGCAGTACACGACATGACATGAACTGTGCAATGTCAAATAAAAATGGCAGGAGTATTTCAGGAGTTCTGCAGCATTCCAGTAAATCAATACTGTGCACTGTTAAAAAAATACCCAAGGAAAAACTCACCAATGCCCTCCAAGTCCACTGCCGTAGAGTTTGGGTTGTGAAGCTGGTTGAACAGGGCCTGGATTATATCGGACCGGTTGGTTCGAGGGTCGAGGCAAAGTTGACCAGCTGGGCATAAACCATCCTCATCTACCTCCCGTGTAAAGACGAACGGATGCTCCACCAGTGTCACCACCCTGAGACGGTGTCCCTCGACGGAAATTCCCGGCCTCCAGCGATCACCGATGTTACCGTCCCCCTGGCCATCCCCTCCCCTTACGCCAGCCCCAAGACCCAGTCCCTGGCTGTTCCCGAACCCTCCCACCAATCCCAGGATGCCCCCTTCCAACTCCAGTCGGCCACGGGTCCACTGTCCTACGGTAACCCAGGCCGGCTGGCCGAGAGCACCCCTCTTTAGACTCCACACGTGGAACAGCTGAGAGGACAGGATCCGAGAGACACCGGCATCCACTTGGATCAGCCCAGTGCCCCCGGTGAAGGAAGTATTGGAGAAAAACCTCAAGAAAAAAAGAGAATGAAAAACAGATAATTAGCAAAGGACAACAGAAAGAAAAAAGTTAGATTTTCTCAGTCTTAAAATGTAGAAATATGACCTGAATTAACCACCGGCCACATGGTTAAAAAAAGGCAAAAGCCGGCGCAGATGGCGCAGTCTGGTTCTGGGGCTTTAGCACGTCTGGTCCCAGATGGGTAATTGCATCTCCCAGAAAGTCATAATTAAAAGTTAATGCAGTGCAATGAGGGTCCCGTCCTATCTGCCAGTCCATACAGACAGTCATTGCCATTCGTCTCACTTGCCTGGCGGCCCCACATCCGTCTTTAGGATGGAATACATTACGCATAGCAATCCTCCTTTATAAATAAATCGGAACCGGCCTTTTAAACTACACAGAGCCCGTTGCTTCCTGTCTTAATATTTGATCATATAGATGTTGGCAGGCTATGTCTTAGTTTGCCATGCAAGTTGTATTTTATCACATTTTAATTAGCAGCAGATTGGAGGGAAGTTGTGAAATGTGTGAATGTTTCAGTATGCAGGGATGGCTGCTCAAGTGGATGTCTGGGTCAAGGCTGGAAATGGCTCATTTTCTTTCGCGTTCATGGGAACAGGGCATATGAGCAAAGCCCTTTCCTCCAAGCAAGAAAAACAGTATGAAGCCCCCCTTTGTTCCTTTTACACAGTTTTCCTCTTCTTCCTGCTCGCATCTGCAAGTTACATGTTTGTATTGATGTGCTTAGATTGCAACGCCTGATATAAAGCTCTCTACAGTAATTATGGGATATGCAAAGGATAACGAAAAGATTAAATTAATCACGTGGCTCATTAACCTCTCATCCAAGCCAACTTTTAAAGGTTTGTGTGTTCTGCTCGTGGATTTGCTCACTGCCCCTACATCTTCACATTTGAATTGCCGTCCGCATGGCCATAACTCTGTAGAACCTGATTAAAAATGCCCCTGATGTGAGAGCCATTCCCGACAAGTTCCACATTAACTTATGTTTCCTCATCAGCAGCTCTCTCTGTCTCTGTGACCATAAAGCCGAAGTGCTAGCCTTGCCTTAAGCTGAAATCACTCATGGTAATAGCACAGCTGAATCATCATATTCAACAGACAGCAGATTCATCAAGCTAACCCACTCCTGACTCATACTCTAAAGGCTCCGTCTGGCCACAAAAAAAAAACAAAAAAAATGTATACATAAAAAAGAAATAGCCATACTGTAAGCTTCACTTTACATCTCTTATCTGACGAGGAGAGTATGGAAACCCCTTTCTTACAGTTTGTGGCAAGTTTGGATTAATGCCCACAGATAAGAGAGTGAGATAGGGGTGTGTGCAATAACACAAAGATGGCCAGAGAGTAGCAGCGTGAAAAGTGCAACACGCTCTCAAACAACACAACCTTCTTGCTGCAATTTTGCTTGTCGGTTTGTTGCCTCAGGCCACAAACTGAATTTAAAGAATGACTGTGGACGTCAGAGCAGCTTGATAAGTCAGCCGGCAGCGTCAGAGAGGGATGGCTTCCTCACACAAACACCTGGTCCCGCTTTACACGCTCAGAGTGACTGTCAGCAGAGTGGCCGGTAAGTGATGAGTCTATAAGAGAGTCCCCGGCATGTGTCTCAGTCTTTTATCGCTCTGTCTCCTATAGTTTGGAGGAAAGTTTACTCCCTCTGACTTTTTCAGAGCGTTCGCGGTGACATGAGACCTGCCCGTTTCGATGGATTTAATCTCCTGTGTGGAGATGGAATCGGCGTGGCAGCTGTGTCCAGTGAGATGGCATTGAGTGGCAGATCTCACCCTGACAACACCAGCCCTCTTATCCACCTCCCTCGCCTCTTTTACTCCTCCATTTAAGTTTTTCTTTGACTTTATTCCTGTTTCCCCTTTGTCCTTTCTAACTTCCTCTGTCTGTCATGTGCTGTCTTTGACCAAATTCTTCCTCTCCTCTATCCTAATTTTGGGTTCTTTTAACTCTGACCATTCTGGGAGAGAACTTAAAAAAGTAGCCAGTTGCTCATCTTTTGGCCTAAGTTTTACCAACATTACTGCATCGTTCTGAGTAGGAAACAGTAATGTTGTGCCTTTTGGTCCTCCTCGCTCACACCTTCATGGCTTGCTCTTAAGAGCTCATATCTCTCTCTCTCTCTCTCTCTGCCTTCACCACTTTTTCCCTTGGGGAATTGAACTGTTAATTGCCTTTTCCACGTGGAAGTCTCTCACTTCCCTTCAGCTTTGTTAGGGCTCCTTAGAGCAATGGCATGTCAGGCTGTTGCAGAGAAGGGATAAGAATCAGGAAGTATACAGGGAGAGTATGGAGTCAAACTCGTGGGTTTAAAAAGTGAGATAGTACAACCCCTTTATCAGTCTCTCTCAGGCCAGAAAAAAAGGTCACTGACATTATATTGTGAAGGACTCCATGATAAATTGCTAATTTTGGAAGTTTGGATTATGTACAAATTGGGCCTCCAGAAAAAGATTGAAACTTTCCTTGGTTAGACTTTTGTTGAAACTAAAAGGCTTCACATGGGAGTGCACAGCCATACAAGTGGGAATAAAGCTGTACTTGGAAAGAGTCCTTTCATTAAGCGAGAATTCAATATGTTTCCAATAACAGTTGGCGAGTTTGCAAGTGCAAGGTTTACCAAGGTTACAGAAGCTGTTGTTCTGGGTAATGGGAATATAGAGGCACAAAAGGTTGGTTTGGAAATAAATTCCTCAAAAATTTTACTATTTTAATTTAGTCCTTAAATTGGATTTAGCATGGGGAACTTGAAGTGTAAAACACGAAATCCAAGATGAACCATCCAACAATTAAATTTATTTCAACATGAAGGGCAAAATACAAAAAAGCTCCATGTAAACCTAATCACAAACCAAACCTTCCTCTTGTTCATTTTAGTATTTTTTTTAGGTAAACTGCAAATTAAAAACAAATGTAATCACATGCTGATGGAGAGGATTAGATTTGATATAATCAGTCATTCAGAAGCAGATTAATTGTTGTTTTGAGCCATGCACGAAGCTTGTTTAGGTATTTAAAAAAATTATATTTGCTCTCTAGTTACAGTGGTAATTCTATGCCTGGAGAGTTAGGACAGCTCCATTTGTGGCTTGCCCTGTTTTAAAAAAAATGTACGTATGCAAGTGAGCCATTTGAAAGTGCAATATTCAGGACTATCGTCTAAATGAGCCATGCAGAAACACGGACTAAGTTCAACACTCATAATTGCCTTGGTTCCATCGGAAAAAGCATATCACACCTGAAACTGTCAGCACTTTCAAAAAAGTGTAGTAGCAACTTTGTTACTGCACAAACAACTAGTGTAATTCAACTTGTTGGATTCTCTCCGGCCTGTTGCATTCATCAAGTTGTGACACCATTTCCAGCCCAGACCAGCATGTCACAAGTGCATTCACTCGATAGCGCTGATAGTTATTTTCACACATGAAAAGCCAAAGTTTTCAGGAGAAAGTGTGAACACGGTAGCAGAGTTCAAGTGATCACACCTAGTGTGTGTGCGTACAAGCATCAAGCCGGCTTCAAAGAACTCTCAAACTCAAACTGATGCTGCTGTTGTCACTCAGCTGGTCCCGCGATGCCGGCTTGATATGAGGAAAGAAACGTAACAGGGTTCTGCCTGTGTTTGGCACATGGGAATTACAAGGAGGAGCGAATACGGGCTAATGAAAATGTGAATATTGTTGTATCCTCCCGGGTATTAGTTCTGCAAATATTAACTAGATGGTACACGCGCTTCTCTGGAGTGTTTCAATGCCGATCACCGGTAGCATAAGTAAGGAGGCAAAACCATTTTTTTTAAGGTTTGAGTTCATTCAGAAGGCAGAAATTGGAGCTACCTCTGTCCTATGCTTTTTGTAGTATCGGATTGGTTCTTCCATTGGGAACCCGTAACCCCACTCCCAAAACTTGAACTTATCCTTTTAAGCTTTAACAAACATCTAGGCTAGTTTGAGTAATTATTCTACCATTTGTAGTTTGTGTTTTTTGAGAATAAAAAATTATAATGGACCACAACAAAGGTGGCCTTCCCTGGCTGACGGTGCTGGCACCCCGGCGCTCGGCTAAACTGCAGAAGGGGGAGAGCACCCTGAGGATCCAGCAAGTGATTATGTGGGTGTTGCTGATGATCACTCACAGCTGGCAGGCACCAGTGTGTGCTCTATATCTGCTGTGGGCCCAGCTCCCACCACAAATCCGCCTCTCATCAGCACCACATGACCACTGCAGTTGGCTACGTGCCGTTTTATCCATTGTGCCATTTGAAGAATATCCATGTCAACTGGCAGAGCAAAAGTATTCTGCTTTGGAGTGAATTTATAGCACACGGCTGCAGTGCTTCACGCAGTATCAGCCACACAGGGCTTAACTGGGTTTCTGAAGTATGTAAGTGTGTTCTCTTTTTTTTTTCCTGTGTCCAAACGTGAGGATTAATATTTCCACTTTAAGTGAAAATGTTTAATGTTTAAAAAGGATTTCAAAATGCATGTGTGTGCGTGTTTTTGAATCACAGACAGCACCTTGAAAAAACATGTGAAAGCTGTCAAAAGCCTTTTTAAAAGCTTGAGGGACTTAGACAGGGGCAATAGCATAGAGAGAGAAAAAAAAAACCCAAAAAGCCTTCTGGTGTCAGTCTGTCAGTATGGCATGGAGACCTCTTTCCCTCCTCCAGGACAACATCTCTGCTCAGAAGCCGGCACCCCCATGGTGCAGAGGACAGACAAGGGCAGCAACCATGGCGAACAGAACCACAAGTAAAGCCAGCAACTTGCCACAGAAAAATGCCAAAGTGTTACTCAGAAAGCTAATGAGCTTACAGACGTTTAATGGCATGGCCAGACTTGTTTAACTGCAGTTTGTCAGTGTGATCGATATGTCGTTAGGTGATTTAAATGTGTACACTTGTAGGGGCATGTTTCTGAATTTTAGAGCCAGGAAGTCATCTTAAAGCAGACACATTAGTTAGCATAGTGGATGGCTGCAGAGGTTATGGAAGAGTTTTTAAGGATTAGATCAGGCCTACTGCTGCTCGCCCTGCATCGTCTGAGGCAGGATGGCAAACGTATGTATCATGCACCACTGACGTTTTATTGGACAGTCTACACCAACTGCCAGGCCACTGCAGGTGGTAGAGATTAGTCTTTTCAGGGAGCTTAAAAAACTAATCCACAAAGAAATGGGCCCAATAAAAATGTTAGTGAGAATTCCGGATTACTCAGTTGGGCTGTCAGTTCTCCTGAAAATCACATCTGAGCTCATTTAAAAATCAACATCAATACTGTACCACTTATAGATTCAAATGAAAAGTAATTCCAACAAATGCCAGCCCAAATTTGTTTGCTTTATTGTCCTCTTCAGACAGTTTAAAGTCATAGCCGCAAATCATTTATACCACCGGCATATTTCTCTGAGCGGCCCAAAGGGCACAGATTACATCATGCTCGTAGAGAGGCAGCTTCTGCAGGTTTACAAGGCAAACTAATTCTAATTTACGGATGCATCTGCTGATGGTGTATGGAGTAAAGCATTTGGAGTATTTTTTGTTTAAATTGCATGGTTGACTGACATCTACTGTATGTTTCCCTATCTGGAAGTGGCTGTTTGAACACTAAAGAAAGGTGGTGGCAGTATTATGTACACATCCTGTTTTTAAAAAATAACTACGATAAACAAAATACATTTTTATGACATTTCTCAAATGAAGACATTTCAAGCAAGCATCCAATTCCTGCCTCTCCGAGCTGACATTATCGCAAAATGTACCGCCTCCCACACTGACTGACTATCTGCATGACTTTTATAACTGAGAAGAAAGTGCAAACTGTTTCTTTCTTTCTGTGCCAATCCCTGCTGTGTGTAGAATACCATCAGGAATACCAACACAGCTGTAAACTACTTGGATAGAAACACTAACCGTTTCTTATTTTTAAATGATATATTAGATAAGATGATTGGATGGAATCATGTTTGTGGTGTCTCACAGTTTTTCAAATAAGATTCCCCCAACACGTATACTCTTAATGTGCTAGTTGTCCAAACAAGAAAAGAAAGTGGCCTAGTTTTGACGTCAACTGTTAGGTCAAACGCTTAGGTCATCATATTTTACAACATCCTAACTATCTTATTCCTATCTATTATAGGTAACTGGGTCAGAACATTCACTTCAGAACATCCACTTCCCTTTAACTCCAGCACAGGGAAGGGTATAAGTTGTAATGCGACAGCTTTGTACATCGTATGAATAACATGTATGATCATGCTGGCTACTCTAACTTCTGTTGTGTTTTTACTTTTAAGAAATTTCCTATTTCTTACTTCCTCAGATGACTAAGACGTTTGTTTAAACTGAAAATTCCATGCGTATACGAGTATATTAGTTAAGCAAACTGACACTTTTATCAGAATGTGCAGGGAACATGCTGGCATACCTGGCAAGATATTGTCCCGAAGAGGTCAGTTCTGGTCGATTGGATTTGTCATAACAATTAAGCATGTTCTGAACCAGAGCCAAGTCCGGCCTCACCATCGTCGCTGCAGTGACTGCTCGACCAATCAGCTGCAACGCGTCCCGTATGTAGAAGCTTATCGGTTTGCGGCCGACCTCTCCATAGGCTAATAGTCCCAGCGGACCTCCGAGAGTGTGCAGGGAATCGGGAGACAAGGGGTATCCCATGATCCACTGCAGCGCTGGAAGCGAGGAAGCGAGACGCTGAGCAGCTCTCAGGACTGAAGAGAGACACTCGGGATCAGATCCCAGGAGGAGAACAGAGGAGATAGGAGAGGTGGAGCGCAGGAAGCTGGTGGAAATGATGTTCAAAGCCTCTTCCTCCATTTGATCCTCTCTTCTTTCCTCTCCGGCCTCCCCCCTTCTGTCCCTACTGCCTGTAATGCGGGTCAGGTTGATGATGTCCGACAGATGCCAGGCAGGGCCGCTGTGCCTTTGCAGGTGAGCCAGCAAGCCGTCGCCACCTTCGTCCCATCCGGGGCAGATCACAGCTGCTCCTCCCCAGCTGCCCTCGTCCTGGCCTCCTCTGTCCCTCTCCCCATCTCCCCCCTGCAGGACAGCTAGAAGCAAGGTCCCCAGGGTCGACGGAGGCACACGGGCCGACATCTGAAGGTGAAATTGGTTCTACGAGAGAGAGAGAAAGGAAGTAAGAGTGAAAGAGTTTAGACATAACAAAAAGTTAGATCAAAGAAAGAAGAAAGAAGGAAGAAAGTTAAAGGGATGAAAAAAAAAAAATCAGGAGTGAACACAAAAGCAGAGATGAGAGGGGGGGAGAGGAAGGTGGGGGAAAAAAAAGATCCAAACAAAGATTAATAGATATCACCAAACCCTAACACCGCAGGGCCGACTCACATGAAATCACATTAAAGGCACCTTTTATGAGCACAGTAGTGCTGCAAAACTGTTCCCGTCGCTGCAGCAATTTGCCACGACGCAGATCCGAAACAATCAGTCACATTTGTTTATTATCTCTCACTCTGAGTGAGAAGAGCCGGGGTGATTCGAACAAGGAGTCAATGATTCGCATCTAAGCAGCGACATCACAGTTGGCTTGGCAAGACAACAGTGGCATCCACAGTTCATCCAGGAACCCACGTCTCCAAACCCCAGTGAAAACACTGGCCTGTTTCATACAGTTCCAAAATGAATAACACTGTTGTCCTTGAATGGCGCTCACAGATGGACCTCCACCCCCTTTTCCTTCCTTTGGGAGTTTCTATCCATTTTTCATCCGATCAGTGCTTCAGGCAAGGTTGAGATGGGAGACTGCTTTTCTATAGATAAGTCAAAGTTTAGCTAGACACGGCTTAAGATTTGCTATGAATGGCTCTACTTCAGAGAACTGACATGATAGGAATGCAATAGGACTCACGAACCCCCCCCCTGGCACTAATGCATACATATTTTCAGGCTCTTTGTAACATGTGCTGCACACACAGACACAGACACACACACACACACACACACACACACACACACACACACACACATGCACGCGCGGACTACATTTAGAAAATCTATCTTCTAAATCTACAAGTGCATCCTGCAGGAATGCTTAAATAAACACGCACACGTGAAACTCATGCATCAGCATTTGAAGATGATCTAAACCCAAACGTAACCCACATTCAGACACCCTTATTCAAATGGAAATGTCTCACTGGGGAGTGCTAAGCTGAAGTTCCCAACTCCCTTAAGAGAGTAGAATTTTTTTTTAATCTGAAGTGTGGAGGGAGATGGACGAATTCATGCAGCATATGTATTTATCCTCTTGAAAGGGGTCTTCTGCGTGGGAGGGGGGGCAAGGTAAGATTTCTTAATCAAAACTCCAGAAGAGATAGGAGGGTGGTGCCTGTTTACGCCAGAATTCCAAGGGCATCGTTTATATTATATTGAGGGACACAAGAAACACAAAATGTGATGAAACAAGATCAACGAAGCCTTGGGGCAGCTGAAGGAATTGTGATGAAACTCTATATCTCCTTTCTTTCTAAGTTCTTCGAAGTACAATCCATCTCAGCCATTGAACAGATCAGATCATACTACATGAGAAAACAAAAAAGGGCAGAGACAAAGCTGTTCATTTTGCCCCCAGTTTGAGGAGCTTGTTAGAAAGACTAAAGAGGGATTCTTCCTGTATGCATTATTGTCAAATTAATTGTAATAATACTCATCTGAGGGACATCCCACTGCTGTGTCAGCTGTTTTAGGCCAGCATTCTCTTAATGTTTCTCCGCCCCAATTATGGCCTTCTGGCTTGACTTTTAGACAGATTATCTTTGCCATTGCAGTTCCATTTGAGGCATTTAGCCTGCACTCTTATCCAGATCGACTTACAGCGAGCACAACAGTAGAATTACTTCAGGAGTGAGGACGTGAGGATAATAACAAGGGGTAACTGGAGCATTATACAACTTGCAGCAAGGAGAGAAAATCAAATACAGCAAAAAGAGGAGGCAGATGTTTGATTCAGGGAGCATTTTAAAAAAAAATATGACAATTATAGACATACTGATGTCGACATTTGGTTATTTAAAAGAGTTCATTCTGAAAATAGCCTGCAACTTCTGGGTGAGTTACATTACTCGTGCTTCTTATGGAGTCCAATGTAAAAGATTTCAGCTCATCACTGTGGACAACAGTCCACTGACACTCAGCCTTTTAATTTTAGCATTGACTCTTTTCTTTTAGCCTTACGTGCCCACGTTGTTCTCCTTTCAGTTTCTATTAGGACGAGATGTTGCCGCTCAGTCTCGAAACAAGCCGAAAACAATTTTTTTCCCTCCAACAAAAGCAAAATCCCGCATATAGCGTCAAAAATTATGGCAGCGCTTGCAGAACAATGGAATCCCTGCCAGTCATCTCTGCAGCTTAATCCAGCGTGTCTTCAAAAGAAACTGGCAACAACAGTGTTTATCCCCCTGACATGCCAGATTTAATGTATGCATGTGCTTATGACTGCAAACTGGTGCGTGAGTGATAACAATAGGTCTTCCGAGTCCATTGTGGCCGTCTGCATAGTTCGGGTTTGTTTGCTTTTGCTCCCAGTCTAAGCCAACTTTGTTGTTGTGGTTATCACACATTTACTTTTTTTTTTTCTAAGGTGAAACTGAGCTGAGTTTTGATCTATTGTAGGAGGCACGCAGCATGGCTGTTATGACGTAACTGTCTAGACCAGATAAAAAGTGGCTGCACTTCTGGGGGAAGTTTATATGGCATTTGCTAGCTTGTCTAAAACACATGCACATATTTGTGAAGTGTTTGGAGATTTGTTTCGGTCTGCACGAACTGCAGACAAACAGGCTTGGTCTTTGCAAGCCGTGTTTGCTGAGCTTTACTACTCAGGACAGCCCTCACCAATTTTTTTTTTTGTTCTTGGAGAAGACGAAAGGCTTGGTTTAAACAGATTGGGTAAGCATGCCCACATTTTCAACTCATAAGGACCTCCTGAATGCGCACGTTCGTGTCAATCTCCGTGCATGCTTTTATCTTTTTCAGGTAAGAGCTTCATCTGTGAGCCCGAGGTTAGAGAGAGAGGAAAAGAAAAAGGATGAAAGATAAGAGCAGCTAAAATGAGAGTCAGCGTTATTCTGGGATCTAATGTAAAAACCACAGCGCTTCTCACACATCTGCAAATTAGAAACCTTGACCTGAACCTTTACCTCAACTAAACTAACAAATCCATAGGGCTGTTTGACTCTAAAGTCCCAGGATTTTCAGGCCTTCAAACAAAGCGCACGTGCTTGAGTGTATGTACTAAAGCTCTGGCACATGGAAAGACACACCTGCAGTCGGGACAGGGAGGACAAGAACACATGGGAACGAGTGCAAGAACAAACAGTTTTCAGTACAAACCCACCAGGGTGTGAATGCTTGAGCGAAAAAGGAATCCTGGGGGATCTCTGGGCAATATGGAGAAAGAAGAAGAAGAAAAAAAAAGCTACAGAAGTGTATTGTCTTGAAACAGAGGGGGGTGGGGGGGGAGGGCAGCTCTGTTACTGAGCTTTCCTTATTTAGGCTTATACCAGATAAGCATCAACACTTTCACTTCTCCTAGAGCCAAAGAGAGAGAAAAAAAAAAAGATTTCCCCAAATATGAAAAAAAAAAAATAACACAGAGGAAACCGCAGCACCTGCAATTTCAAAGCTTATTAAGATCAACATGCGGGAAATATCAAGGAGGTGGGGCATGGCAGCATATGTGCCGGCGAGTTTTATCTGATGGTTCGGGTGGTTGGGGAAACCACGGGGCAGACAAAACCAGGTGTCTCCTTTTGGCCTTCCTCCACAGCCTCAGGCAAGGGATCTCTTTAACTAGCTGCAGCTTGACTTGGTGCGAGCGCTGCCTTATCCGTGGCTGCCTTTTTAGGCTAATGCCGCAGTCATGCCTCGTTTGCATGGAGCACAGCGCCGATAGGAAGACCGAGGGCACGCTCGCAGTTGTCCTCGCTATTACACCCGGGCTGTGTGGACCTCTGCCTGAGCCTCTGAATGGCTGCTTGGCTTTTTCTCTCGGTCCAGAAACAAAGCTCATGGTCAGGGCAGCGCTCCAAACATCAACACCTCACTGAGCACATTAATATTTCAAGAGCACTGTCGTCAGGTGAGTTGGCCGGATGAATGGAGGTAGAGGGACTGAAAGAGAGGGAGGGACACAGAATTATGTTTTAGATGAAAGGAAAAAAATGATGATATGTGCTTTAATATCCGTTTCTGCTGAAGATGGTATAAGGTGATGGTTTGCTTCTGATTGTGTGGCAGGAAAAAAAAAAAAAAAAGCAAGACGAAAGACAGTGATGGTGTGCGGGAGGAAGACAGGAATATTTTCTCAGCAGGGTGCAAGTCATGGATTTCAAACACCTGAGATGAGAACTGAGAGCATCGTAACCTGAATGTCAAACCAAAATGTCAGTAAATGTGGGCTTGCGAGCACACAGGAAATACTCTGAATCCAACCCAGCTATTTGATTTAAACTGCAGGGCGAAATTATGTAAGCCAATGCTGGCATCGGTTCATACATAATGGATAAAGATAAACTGTTGAAATGTGTGCAGTTTTTTTTCTGACTTTTTTCTTAGAGTCTAAGCAACATCCATGATTGAATAAGGCCAGCCACAGTTGTTTGCATGTTTAATGAAGCAACACTGAGCGGGCCTCTTTAGCTGACCAGGCGGTGGATAACTGGGTTGTTTGCCTTGCTGTTGTGTAATTGTATGCAAATGGCATTGTTTAATTTTCGCCTAATTTCCCTGTCTCATGAGAATAAGTGTTATATGGGTGACTTTAATCTTACTCAGGCATGCTGACGGCGACTGGCACTAAGCTGGGTGGGAGTGCGAAGAAGGTGCCAATGCCAAACACAAATTCCGTCAAGGCACGAACGGAAATATGCACACACATCGAGACACAGCGCACACACGGGCATTAGGCTACATTTTAGCGCTTGCACGTCCATGAAAGTATGGCCCCCATGCTCACATGCGCACGCAAAAGCCACAACCGTGAAGCAATCAGCCACTTAACGCAGCAAATGACTATGGTTATCTGAGCGTAACAGCCTGTTAGCTCAGAGAAACGGAGTGATAAGCGGCAGTGCACACACCATTAGGCTGCACCACCAAACTGGCCACAGAGACGGGATACATCTTGTTTCAAAGTCAACAGTTGATGAAGATAGCGCCACTTCTGTGGGATCGTCACAGCCGAGTTACATATGCAAATATTCTGACACAATCCAACTCTGCTCAACATCTCCATAAGAGCGATAGAGGAGAAAAGTATGGATGAAACTATGGCTGTTGGGGGAGCACGATGAAACGCGGACGCAAAGTTTAAAGCGCACTTTGGATAAGGTTTGATTAGAGAGAAATGGTTTCTTGCAGCTCTATACCGGCAGTGCTGCTGGCGCTATGAGAGTTTGGAGGTCCATTAAGCATGAGGAACTTGTTAGTTTGTTGGTGGCGCTGTTGGTAGAGGCAAGGTTGGGGCTTTACAGTAGACTCGTACGGACATCTTTGTAGCCATTAACAACTGTGAGAAAAGACATAAAAGTCTTGACAGGCCACGTTGCCTCTTTTCCTCGGGGCACCGAATATATGGGAGTGGGTGAAAAGGCTAAAAAAAAATGTGATTCACTCATTTTGCTCATCTGTGCCAAATCAAGCATAGCAGGGTGGGTGTGTTAGTCTGAAAAACTAGCGTGCGCACATATCCAGGTTATTTGTCCATGAGTAGGAGAGTGTCTGCAAGAGCATTTGTGTGCTATTTGTGGAAGTGTGTGAAAATGCGAATGCCTGTGATTTACAAACTATTTGATGGAATATTGTTCTCAGCACGGATTCAAATTAATTTGAGTGATCATGACACTGAGCACATCAGCGATTCCCCCCCAAAGCTACCAGCAGAACTGAGAAAACCAGAGTTAGGCTGCTTCTGTGCACACATTTCAAGACACGCGGAGCAAAGCAGACTGATCACACACTCAAACCAGCCCAGCGCTTTGGGCTTTGTACATTATCCATGAAGAAGTTTTTGCGACACGATTCCACAGTTTAATCAAATGGCGATCCAGAGGGAATAACTAAAACGCAGAGTGCATATCACGGTATGCAAATGCTTCCATGCAAATGTGAGCAAACGAAGTAATCCAGAGCAGAATGTTCTCTTTCATTATCAGTTAACTTTGGATTTAATGAGTCTCCGTGGGTCCGCCAATGTCCTGATGTCATCAATAACAATAAGAATGTGCTGTTCTGGACTAGTTAGTCAGGTCTCCAGTCAGCCAGTGTTAGTGCTGAGTGCACTGCTAGCACTGGAGAAGGCTGTCATCTCAGCACGCTGCATCTGCGCCTCTTTTGTCAGGAGCTCTTTTGATCCCCTCAGTAGCAGAGTTACAAGCCCACAGCAGAAATATGCTGAATAGATTCATGTATCATCCTCCCCCCCTACAAACAGCCTCTGGCCCCCTCACTATTTATGATCATAATAGCTGCCGTTATTTATTAAAGCGAGATTGTTGTCCTTGCTCAATAGGCAGTGTTGTTTTCTCTGCTGGGGGAGCATAATATTTGTCCTTTTTGGAGTGGCCCTGTGTGCGAATGGAGGTGGCATCGTGAATGCGATAGTGATTGATTTGTCCGTTGAACGGCAGAGAGAGGTACAGAGGAAGGCTAATGTGAGTTATGATTGCAACTGTAATTTTCTCCCCCGACTCATCCATCCACTCTACAGTAGCACATACATGCTGTGTTCAGATGACGCATCCCTGCTCCATCTTGAGAACGTTTCCGCCGGTTTTCCATCACGGCGATTTTTTCTAGATCATAAGTCCTACTATCCTTCCCACGGTCCAAGTTTTATCTTCCACACTTACTAACCCTCTGGATATAGGTGGTGTCAAGCATTCGGAGTCATCACAGCCTAACGTCGGTGGTAAACTAAGCTGTTCCAGGTGTCATGGTGCTGGGGCAGGGTAGAATATAGCCTCTTGCTACGTTGTAATTTCATCATAGGGCAGACAGACACGACGCAGACATTATTAACAGTTCTCTGAATACAAATGTAGGCTGGTGTGATGTCATTAACAGTCGACCCGTAGGGAACGGAGCTGCAAACAGAAAAATTCTCTGGAGGGAACACATTTATTCACCAAGCCCCAGTAGTGAAAGCACACCGTGCCAGTAATGAGACACCCACAAGTAAAGCTTGTGTGATATTTCTTGTTCTAAAAGTGAGTGTGCATTTTTCAATGAGTTTGTTTTGTACAACATAAAAACACTTATGGTAAAGAGCCCCTTGCTCTAGTCTAGCTTATACGTAAAACTCAGACAAGACTTTTCAGGAGTGAAATAATACAGAGAGACTGAAGTCATTTAGGAGAAGTGTGTTTGTAAAGGAGTGTGTGGCGCGTTTGAATAGATGTGCAAGAGTCCCAGGATGGATGAGATCAGGGCGAGTAAATGACCTGCCTTGATTCAGCCTATCAGCTGAGCTCTCGACTCAGACTCCCTGATATCCCCTTTCATCCATCTCTATAAGGGAGATGATGGAGGGATGGAGAGGCAGAAGATGAGGCCGAGGAAATGAATATTCACAGAGGAAAGTGAACAATTTCAAGTTCAAGAGCGAACATAAAGGAGCCAATTACAGACGAGGGAGAGGTTTGGGAGCAAAAAAAAAGAGACAGAGACAGACGATTGAACAAAAGGTCTATTAGAGTCAAATCTGAATGTGGGGTGATATGTATGACAAAAGGCACCCGGTCCAGAACAAAAGTGCCTGTAATGTGACAGGGAGTTCCAGACGGATGGGGCATTTGAGATGAGCTGATTTGGGGCAATGATTAGAAAATTGGTCTGACTCCAACCCATTTCTAATGCAACAGTCAGGTTTTCGACAGTCAGCAAAAGTGGCCAGCTGAGACATTTAAATATGACATTAAAAAACAAAGTTAAAGCCAGACGACAATTTAGAAAAGAACAGCAAGATGTCAATAATTCAAAATAGACATCAAACACCAACCTGAAGGCTGATTCGAGACGCCACCTGATGTGAGACGTTTGAAAACAATTTTCATTTTCCCATTATTGTCGACAGTCGCAGTGTGCTATAAATTGTAAAGAATGCCCCAATAAGCATGGACCTGTATAATCTGTTCCCAAACTTAAGACATACTGTCTTCAAACAGTCCTAAAATAAGAAGCGTACAGGATTCAAGAAGGTCACGGTCTTTATGCAGGTCAATGCTTCATTAAGTCGCTGTCTTACTCTTTATACACATGTATACAAGCAGGGATAATGTCCAACTGTATTTTATGAAATCACCAGGAAAGGATAGTTTGACCCTCCACAAAAAAAGTGAGTTTTCAACCAGATGTAAATCAGCATTCCAGCAATGGTGGTTTAATTTTGGTTGAAAAAAAATATATATCAAAATGTCTGAAAATAGCGAAACATGGTAAAAACATTGTTTTTTGCTTACTGGATTTAAAACAATCTAAGAGAATAATAATACGTTAATGTTGTGATGGGTGGCACAAAAACGGGGGAAAAAATTAATGTTGTATACAAAAAAACCCTGCAACACCTGCGTCCTCGTATCCTCCTGCTTTGTTTGATCAGAACAATAGATGGGAAAATAATGAAAACGGGAGCCTCCTCACATGGTTTAAATCCTATTGAGACTGATGGACCTGAATTAAAAAAAAACCCAGCTGAATCCATATATGGACATCTCATCGCATTTGTGTAAATGTTGCAGCGCTTTATTTTATTAGTCACTGAGAAGTCATAAAATGTAAATAAAATGTAATTTCCTCTCACTTATCCTTCACACTTCCTCTAAAACAATGAGACTGAACAAATAACGCGTACTTTCCCTTTGTTGAATAATCAAACAAGTGACAGATCGCATTGTGTCAGCTCAATGACAGAATTAATTGCTAGGAATACGATCCCCCCCCCCCCCCCACACACACACCTAATTGTGTCTGCCGTGTATAAACATGAGCCAACCGAACGCTGTTGTTTAGAAA